AGTTCCTCCAAACAAAGTGGCTGGTTGTCCAATGGGAGCAGACACATAGGCAGGTGAGGGAATGAAAGGGGTAGCCTGGGGAAGAGCTATGCCTCTAGGAAATACAGAAATCCCTGGCATCTCACTGTTGGAGACAGAAAACCTGCCACCAGTGCTGCTGATGTTACTCGGGTTTCTGCTGCTGAAGCTCTCAGCAAAAACGGGCGCAGGTCTCTTCAGGGAGAAATTGAGCCCAGGTGACACAAAAGCTTCTGTCTGAGCAGGCTCAGCAAAGGGCTGTGATGAAACTACAGGGCGCAGGGGCAGGGTTGGAACTGCAACAGCCACTGAAGTGGTGCTTGCAGCCGTGGTCTGGAAAAGGGTCATGGGCACAGCGTGCTGGATGGAAGAGGCCGGCAGACGGATGGCGGGAGATTCACCTTCAGGAAACAAAACAGTGACTTGTCAGACATGAACAGAGTTCTGATAAACAGCATCACAGCAAACCACAGCATTTCTGGGTACAGTCAGAATAATTCCCCCTCAAATTTCCCAGCAACTTGTGTCATGCATCTAATGTGACACCATTCTGAGAGATGGGTTTGGACCCACACACTAAAGCTGCATTGCACAGGAAGCCACAGGAGGAAGGAAGTGGCTGATGTGGGTCCACTGCTCTTGTGAGGCTCTATCTTGTCCTAGTAAGGCCCCACAATGGGCTGGAGTGTGCCTTCAGCTCAGAAGACCTCTCAAGTCTACTGACATGAAATGAACCAAATTTATAACAAATCTGCGTGCTCAGGAGCCTAAACCACTCTAATCTCCAATATGTTTCCTTATTTCATCAATGAATGTACACGCTAGACAATTCTACTTTGAAATGTTTTGCAGAGCACAAACTTCAATGTACACTCTCAAATCACACCTCATCAACAGGGCTGCCTTCACAGGGAAAGATTTTGAAACACATTGCATAGGAATTTTCAAATCACTAACTCAGAACTTCATCAGAACAAAGCTGAGTATTCTTTTGTTTTAATATCTCCGATTATTACCACACAGCATAATCAGGCATTTCATTTTCTTGTCTCATTGCAAAGAAAGCAGCTCTTTCCAGGATGCTTAAAGAGGAAAATGACATTGCCTGGATCCACTGAGCTATTTGGTGTTGAAATCCCCTACCCATGAACTGACAGAGCCACAGCTCTTTGTCTAAGGAATATGCAGATCAGCTCTTACACTGGTCTGGGGGCTCTAGCACTATTTCACTGCCAGTGTGGACTTTTTGTAAAAAAGAAGGATCCTTCCAGAGTATCTGTGAGGTGGAGACCAAATGAGGGAAAGCAGCTGTAGCTCAATATCTTAAGCAGAAAAGAAGTGTTGGTAAATAATCACACCTTCTCTGGGCAACCTGTGCCAGGGCCTCACCACGCTCACAGCAAAGTTTCTTCCCAACATGTAATCTAAACCTGCTCTCTTTCAGTTTGAAGCCACTCCCCCTTGCCCTGTCACTACTGGAACAGGTAAATTCTGAATTTTTAAAATAATTCACTACTGAAAACTCACAGACTGGACGTCCAATACTGTTCTTAACACTGGAGTTGACAAAAGAGTAAGTAGGTGATGAGAAGGGAAGGGTGCCAGCTGGATTGGTAGTGATGGTACTCTGGGAAGTGCCTGAAAATGCAGCAGAGCCAGGTGGTGGAGAACACTTCTTTTTGTTTGGCTGATAAACCCAACCTGTCAGAGATGAAAAAAAGATGCAGACATCCAGTATTTTGGAAGGTTTCATTATTTATCTAAAGCTATGCTATAATTCTGAAGGATCTGATAAGACAAGTCCAAAACCTGCTCCTTTAGGCAATGGCAATGCTCCACATTAACCAAACATTAACAGATATAAGAATATATCATGAATTTACACTGAGCGGTTTGGTTTCTTACACAGGTTAACTCTTAATGGAACTTTAAAGAAACACCTTTTTTTTTTTTAAGATTCAAGGAGAGAGGGAGAGTGATGCTCTTTTCTTTGTTTATGACAGATTAGGCAGCATCATGAACAAGCAGCATTATGACAACAGAGAGAGAAAGGATCACAACACCTGGTATCTCAACAGCTTTTTTAAAGTTTTTTTACATTCTGTTTTACATTCTGTTATCTTCTGGATAAATGAAATTGCTAAGGGTACAACTTTTAACACCTGACAAAAGGCTGTGAAACATTTTGTGAGAACTTCAAGTCTACAGGTTGAAGAATCCCACAGAATACAATGCTTTTTGTGCTTCCTGTGACATTTCCCTTTCCTGCTTTTAAGAAATGGACACATGTGTCACCACAGGCCACCTGGGCAGCTGTTCCTGGAGCAAGGAAACTGATGCAGCAGGCCACACAAACTCATTCTCTGGCCATTAGACTATTAAAGCATTCGAAAAAGCTGCTGTAGCTGCAGTGTTCTAAGCACCAGCATTTTGGATGCTTTAAAAAATTCATCATTTCAAGCACACAGAAGGATTATGTACTTGAAATATCTACTTTTTTTTCTATCTCTGTTGATTGCCATAATGCAAGAGATCGATTTTCCAAAAAAGCCCTGCACTTCTAAAGCATTCAGGTAAATAACTAAGATGTTTACCAGGAAATTCCTCCCTGTGCCTCAGTTTTATTTTGTTAGCTTCCTCATAATAGGGCTGCTTCTGCTCCTCAGTGAGTTTGCTCCACTCCAGGCCGAGCTGGACGCTGATCTCGGCGTTGTTGGCCCCTGGGTTGGCTTTGGCCACAGCAGCCCTGTGGATCCGGGCCCACACCATGAATGCGTTCATGGGACGCTTCACACGGCCACTCTTGGTCTTGCTGAAGGGAGTGTCTGGCATTCCTGTGCAACAAGGGAGGGAAACATCATCACCTTCCAGGGGATACAGCAGGGCACACTCAGCATCACACCCACAGCATCACCAGAGCTTTGGAACAGATGAAACTCAGTGCACATTTGGAGAGCAGTTCCTAAAATCCTCCACTGCCCTTTGCTGAGTCACTGCACAAGCAATCAGTTACCTGGCTGTTGTTACATATAATAAAAAAAGATAAATAAAATAAACAGGGCCTGCTAACACAGTAGTTTGGATTTCAGTTGGCTTGTTTTCTTATGAATTTATAAACTAATTGTTGTATAGCACAGGCCACACCACCGCAAATTTATTATCACCACCAGAACTATGTAACCAAAGCCCTAAGGATGCAGGAACTAGGACTAAGGATGGTGACCTGCTCAGTCCCACACCTGTGCAGTCCCTGCCTTCTCAATCACAGTTGTTGCTGTTTTGGGTTTCTGCTTGGGTTTTGGTTTTTTGGTTTTTTGTTTGTTCTTTTTTTTTTTCTTTTTTTTTTTTTGGACAGTCGTTTTGTTGGAGGAACAAGTGTTCCCAAATGATTGTTACATGATACCTGGCTTTGGCTCTTTGTAAACACAGGCAGCATTTAAATTGAGCTGGCAACATGATGAATCCACAGGCCCCTTAAAACTGATCCCTGAGCAAGCAATTTCCTCCTGGAAAAGGTTTAAAAATTAACTCTTTCACATCACTGATAAAGGGAAGAAGTATTTAAGACCTTAGTTAATTAATTAATTTTGAATGTCTAGATATTTAAAAAAAAAAGCTTCTAATACAGATGTTTCAAAATGCTCTTCATTTAACAGGTCCAGAATTTTTCAGAGAGATATAGGACTACTTTATAGCTTTAAAAATCAAGCAGATTCCTGACCTTAAAACTGAGATCACAACTCAGTGTAATTCTGAACACTGTCCTAAGGAGTTTCATGCAGAAAGGGAGGAATGTGACAAAACTGCCTTGATTGTAACAAACTACTACAGAACTCCTGTGTTACTGTGCTTTTGTGTCTTGCACTGTGCAAGAGCTGTGCTAAACCCCAGCCTTTGCAAAGGGATGGTTTTCTAACATGACCTTTCCCCTTGTGCTCTCCTGCCTGACAAGCAGTACCCTGCAAGCTCCCTGACCATAATACCTGAATCCGAGGGCAGGACTGTGAGGGGAACGTTTTTTGTTTCAATCTTTGGCCGCTGCAGTAGAGGCTGCAATTGGACTGGCACTTGTTTTACCGGCACTGGAGTCACATGCATCAGCTGCGAGGAAAGAGGGCCCTGGAGCTGAATGTGGGACCTGGGAGGCAAGGACTGAAACAAGACCGGGATATTCTGATCTTGAGCAGGGTTCCCAAGCTCGCACAGGGATCCGGCCGGGGCATCGCTCTTCTCCGCCTTCACTGGGCGGGTCTCGAAGGTCACGTTGGGTCGCTCGCTTTGGACGGCAGATCTTCTCCAGGACTTATTCCCCGTTTGCTCCAGGACCTTCTCCTCGTTCTGGCGGTCACCGCTGCCCCTTTCCTGGTCCCTTTCTCTCCTGATGGCACCCCGGGCCTCTTTCTCAACCGCCGCCGGAGCCGGCATGCACCTGCTCTTCTTCGCCGCTCCTTCGCTGTGCCCGGGCCGGCTCGGGTGCTCCTGCACTTGGACGCGCAGCCCTCCGAGGGGGCCCATGACCTCCCTGTGCCTGGGGGGCGAGGCGGGGCTCGCCCGGGCGCGGAAGCGGCAGTGCCTGACCCTGCGCTCCATCGCTCCGCCGCCGCTCCTCGGCCGCCGCCACCGTTGCGCCAACGCTCCCCGCGGCCCCGCGCCGCCGGCGCGCACCGAACCCGCATCCCGCACCAACCGCGGGGCGCGCTCCGACCCCCAGCCCCGCCGGCTCGGTCGCGCTGTCCCCCCGTCCCGCGCCCACCGGTGGGGCCGCCCCGACCGCCCATCCCGTGCTCGTTGCTCGGCGCGCTCGGAGCGGGGCGCACGGGTCGCCGGCTCCGCGCCCCGCAGCCGCCATGGGCGCCGTTGCCGGAGCCGCCCCGCGCTCCGCCCGCCGGCTCCGCCCGCCCTCCGCCGGCACCGCCGAGCGCCGCTCCGGGCCGCCCACAAGGGCTGGGCTGGGCGCCGCTCCTTCCGCTTCCGCGCCGGGCATGCTGCGCTGCTGCCGGGCGGCCGCGGCCATCGCTGCCGGCTGCGCTCCGGGCTCCCCGCGCGGCCTCGCCATGGCCAAGAGCAAGTTCGAGTACGTGCGGGACTTCGAGGCGGACGACACGGTCCTGCCCAACTGCTGGATCGTGGTGCGGCTGGACGGCCGCAACTTCCACAGGTGCGGGCAGGGCCGGGCGGGGACCCCGCGGGTGCGGGCTGAGAGCGCTGTGCCGGGAGCGGGGTCCTGCGTGGTGCCCGCTTGGGCTGGGCTGTGCCCGTCCGGCTGTGTGAGCCCTGCAGGTGCGGGGTTGGAGATGCTCGTGTCCCCCACTCGGCCTCTCCAGGGCACGGAATTCCACCGGGATTTCGTTTCACGGGTGGCCCTAGAGCCGGTGGTAGGGAATGGGCCGAGTAGGGAAAGGTTCCAGTGCTTTGGGTGTGATGGGCAGGGACAGCAGCTGCTGTCCAGGGATGGGTACTGATGTTTGGAGTCAGTGTCTGTGGCATTTGCCTTGCTTCCCTTGCTTGGTAGATAACTCAGGTTCTTGCTGGGATATTATCTCTGGTTTTGGTAAAGCTCTTGAGTTTTGACAAGTTTATTGATAATTTTGCCCTTATTGGGCTGAATATTGAAGACACCCCGTAAGGAAGGGAGTTTACAGAAAGTAGTATTAGTTATCAATTTCCAATTAAGATACATAAGTATTTGTTATCAGTTTCTAATGTAAGATACATACTGAGCCTGTATTTTGAGTTAACTGATTTAAAAGACTGGTTAGGGTCAGATACTGGTGGGAAAGAGAATGGCTTATCCAGAGTAGATAATGAGGATTTTTGTTCCTGCTTTTCAGACCTGGAGAGAATTCTTTTCTCAGTATTGACAGGATAGTGGAAATCAATATTCATATAAAGCAAATATGAGGAAAATGAATGGGTTAGCATTTTTAGTAGCTTTTTAAGGGACTCTTATGCAACCATTTTTGCTTTGAAGGTTTTCTGAGCAGCATGAATTCAAAAAGCCAAATGATGACCGTGCTCTGCAACTGATGACCAAGTGTGCCCAGACAGTGATGCAAGAACTGGAGGATATTGCTATTGCTTATGGGCAGAGTGATGAATATAGTTTTGTTTTCAAGAAGAAGAGCAGGTGGTTTAAAAGAAGAGCAAGGTAACAGCTACTTTGATACTGGAGTGAACTTGTTTTTAACATCTAATTCTTCCTAAGGTTTGTCTTTACCTGCAGAGGTTAGGAGGAGGGTTGGTGCTACACTACAGTTAGTTCAAATTTTTAATGTGGATTCTTTACGTGTGATCCTTCAGGAAAATATGTTCAATAATACAGAGCTTGTAAAAAAGTTATGTAAACAATCAAACAAAATTGTTTATTATATAAACAATCAACACATTATAAACAGACATTCTTTTAAGAAAATGTTACAATTCTCAGTGTGTCTGTTGATCAAAAGTCTCTGTGCCATTCCTCATCTGTTTGGCCATTATTTAAGAAAGGCTGCTTTCCACTAGAGTTATCACTACTGATACCTCAGATAAGCACAGATATATAATCACACCCATGTATTTCTTTCTTTTTTTTCTCTTGTTCTGTGTTTGCAAGTAAGTTCATGACTCATGTGGTCTCCCAGTTTTCCTCAAGTTACGTGTTCTATTGGAAGGATTACTTCAAGGACCAGCAGCTTCTGTACCCCCCAGGATTTGATGGGCGGATTGTGTTGTATCCCAGCAACCAGAATTTGAAGGACTACCTCAGCTGGAGACAAGCAGATTGTAAGTGTTCCTAGAAAAAAGATTTGTGCAGTTGAGTTCATTTCTCTGAACAGAAAAGTCTTTTCTGCCAGTGTGTTTGATATACAGTTGTCAGTGAAAGAACATCAGGTAGGGTGGTGGTTTTCAATAATATTGCACTTGTCCTGGGGTTTGTAAAGGTACTGGCTGAAATTTGGAGTGTTCAGGCTACAACTAAATTTATTGCATCCTGAGAGTGAATTCAGCACAAGAAATATTAGAACTGGTAATAGAATTAATGAAATTAATTTTGATGTTCAGAGTTGGCTTAGCCAAGGTAATCTGTAATAAAGAGATGTGAATATTCAAATTCACAGCAGTAATCAAAAGTGCTGAATATTCCATGTTAGAATGGACCACTGGATTTGTGTCTAGACCTTTGTCTGCACCTAGTCTCTATTGTCAAATGAAAATTATTTACATTATACATAAACACCCTTCAGCCTCTGCTATGCCCTTTTCATTTATGAAATCTGTCTTGTAGTCATTATATGCAGTACCTTAAAAATGTATTATAAACATTGTATCTTCTTTAGAAACTCATTGTATTAATTCCCCATTACTCTTAAGTGTTTCTTGGATACAGCTCCGGAAATAAATCTGTTTTTTTCCTAAGTAGTCACTCAGATTTGGTAAATAACTGTCCTCACACTCATTTCTCTGTTTTCTCTAGGCCATATTAATAACCTTTATAATACAGTGTTCTGGATGCTTGTGCAGCGAGGGGGTTTGACTCCAGTGCAAGCACAGGAGAGGCTCCGGGTAAGAGTCTGCTCAAGTCATGGTTTTTTACAGCTAAAAATTAAATCATAAGATTTGCAAAGTGTCTTGTCTGCCCAACAGCCCTGACTTGTCTGTTTTTACTGAAATAATTTTGTGGATGTAGTCAACAGCTTCTTCAGTTGTGCAGATATTAATACCACTAGCAAATAATGTAATTTTGGTCAAGTATTAGCAGGGTTTAAGTTCCTAGTTGGCAATTTCAGAAATTTTATAAATGTCATAAAATGTTCAGCATCCAAACCCACAAGCAACAGTGGCAGAATTCAGGTCCTGTTCATTACCAGTCCCTTCTGTTGTGTTTTGTGTCCTTGTGCAGACTTTAGCAGATTATTCCTGTTTTCTCCTGGAATCTGTTGATTGTCTTCCATTTGTCTTGAAAATGTAATAAGAACCCTCTCAGTTTTAATACTCATTTGGCAGTAGGAATTAATTCCTCTGTTGAGAGAAGCAATTTAACCTTGTGACTTAAAGGTGAAAAACCTTTACAAATGTCTGTCTTGCTTCCAGTATTGACTCCTCCTCTATCCTAGAGATACAATTTGTTTTCTCTAAGTATATTTTTCTTTTCCTTTCAGGGAACTTTGGCTGGAGATAAGAATGAAATCTTATTTTCTGAATTCAACATCAACTACAACAATGAACCTTTGATGTATAGAAAAGGAACTGTCCTAATATGGCAGAAGGTAAAAATAAAACCCTATTGCCACTTGCTTTGGGCTGATATTTTAAATAGTTACACTGTGGCAGACCGACTGCACTGTAAGAGCACCACAAGTATCTCCAGTGTATGTCTAGGAATGAATATATCTTAAAAATTAACTATATTTGCCATGTAATTGTGTGTAAGACGACTCATTGTTTTGGAGATGTTTTTGAGAGTTACTTCTATGAGCATAATATAAAAACCGGTCTCTGCAGTCTGGTTTGGATACAAATGATGACCACTGAGATGAAACATGTATCAGCAGATGACAGTGTTTGTATCATTGGGGCCAGGCCCTTCCCAGGATTAGGTCCCAAGCATATCCATGGCAAAGGAATTACAAACTTGTGTTCAATAAAGTGGCTCAGATCATAGTTGGCTTAGTCCTTTTCTGCTTTAAGATAACTTGGAAATGTTCATTATCCTACAATTGCATCATTGATTTAGTGGGAGAAATTTCAGTCCTGTGTTTTTTTAATAAATTGTTTTTTATTAGAATTTTTTAATCCACTCTGGAGCCTTTTAGATCTGCTAATGTGTCAACTATATTTTCAGATTAATGAAGTGACCACTAAGAAAATAAAAATGCCAAAGGAAGAAGAAGAAAAAGAAGTGGAAGTGACCCGGACTAAGACTAAAGTTGTTCCCCTGCACTGTGACATCATTGGGGACCAGTTCTGGGAGGAATACCCTGAGATTCTGGCTGAGGATAGTTGATATCTCTGATGAGCATAACTGGTAGCTCACATTCTGCTCTGCTTGGGTTGTTGGCAAGTGAGGAATACAAATGATGGCTGGCAGAGTTTGACCTGGAACCCTTTTCAGCAACTACAATGGGTTTGGCACTGATGCTGCCTAAAAAGAAGAGATTGGTGCTGTCTGACATACAAGGATATGCCCATATGGAATGCTAAAATCATACTGTATTTTGAATGTTAAGAACTCATCATGAATTAAGACTGTTCCTGCCTTGTACATGTGTATTTGTAAAAAAAGTATGTAGAAATTTCCTGTATTTCTATAGCATTTAAACAATGAGGTATTTTATTGTACTGCTGAACTATAAAGAAGCCTGAATATTTGAACAGAAAATTATTAGTTTGATTTCTGTTTTCAGCTGAGATGGACCAGAGTACTTCATTTGGGATTTAGTATTAAATTTCAAGGCTGGTGTGTTTAGTCAGAGAGTGACAAACAGTTCTCCTGCCTGATGTCTGATTCTTACTGAAATGCAATGGAGTAGCCCAGCAGTTTTCTATGCTTGATTTTAAAAGTATTGACAAAATGTACAGGATTTTTATACTTCTAAAGAATATAAATAATAGTTCCTTCCCTGCTGTGTTTTATTATGTGGCCTTTCTCATTCCTGGGATTTGAACTGGTAAGTGGTGACAGTTCCAAGCAGTGAAGTTAATAATAAAGATACTGCACAGGTTGGAATTCTGTTAGGACATGGATAGGTGTCTTCCCTCATATTCCATGACCTGGGAATTCACCTGTCTCCTATTGTGCACAACACAGCATATTTTAAAAAAATACAGCACAACATAGCAAAATATTCCAGGTGCCTGCAAAGAGAGAGCCAACAACAATTTCTGCTGCTGCTTTCTGATCTCCCTGGGCATGACAGAGCAGTGCTGCCAATCCATGTTTGTTAGAGGGAAGGCAGGAGTGTGTGTTACCTGCTCCATGCACAGTTCTGTTCTGGTTTAACTTAAGACCCTTTGTCAAAACTGACGTCTCAGAGCAGAAATATTTCTGCTAATGGATAGGGGTTTGTCCCAGTGTAACTGGAATTTGAGGGAAATAACATATTTCAGTTTAGAAATACAGTTATAATGATAGGTGATTCTATGACTGTGACTGCTTCTAACCAAGCTGGTTGCAAAAACATCCAGAACAGTAACTGGGCCAGTTGTTGCTAACAAAGACATGGTCAGCAGTTGGGACTGGCCACAAAAAATAGAAAGAAAGGATCAAGTGTGTACTGGTCACAGTACTGAGTTAGATTCCTGTGAATTCTCTTATCAGTCTACTCTGTTTCCCCTTCCTGCAGAACTTACACATTTAAGGCAATGTGGTTTTGGTGGTTTTTTTTTTTCAAAAAGAACCGTGACCAGGTGCCAGTAAACTTCAATTTTGTGAGTTCTTCTGAGATTAGGCAATGATTCTGTGAGTTTATAATAGCACAGGACTTCCCCCTACTTCTCTGTACTGATTAAGTACATGCAGTGAGGGAATGTATTTTGGTTTTAGTTTGTAGAATGAGCTGCATGATTCCTAGAAAGAGGGTGTGGCTTGATGGTAAGATAATTATTCAGAATTAATCATTGCACCAGTTACTTGCTCCTAAGAACTTTGTTGTTTTTTTATCTTCTAACATAAATGCAATTTACTTGACTTTGAAATTCCATGTTACTGCTTGATGCTTGACTGTGGACATTACATACAAAGCAGCTGTTCCAGAACTGGTAACAGCTGGATTTACTCAGCCTGGTAACAAATGAAAGATTAAAAAATAATTTGACAGCCATGATTTATGTTTGGAAAGTATAATATACATTTTTTATTTTATATATTATGGCTGCCTGATACATCCTGTAGTATCTTTATGTATGTAAATTGTGTGTGTATATAAAAAACAGATCTGTGTTAGGTCATAGTGTTTTCTAATTAACTCATTCTTACAATAATATGTAACAAGTCAACATAGCTGTTCACATATGGATTCATATGTCTTTGGAACCAAGACCAGGATTATCTGTACAACCATGGCCTTTAATTTGTATTAAGATAAATACTGGAGAAAGAAACCCCCTGTTGTATCCTCATGTGTAAGATGTGCATTTATATAACTGTGCAGCTGTATGGGAAAATAACTATTCCCAAGGTTCAAGCAGCAGCCTGGTGTTGGTGGCACACACAACACATGGATATTTCTGTAGCTTCAGGAATCCTGTATTGTGACCCAGTGAAGAAAGAGGTGTTTTTCTGAAGCTGGTGAACAACCTGTGGCTGATGTATTTCCGTAACAAGAAGCATTAAAGGTACAGGAACCTGTTATGAAACATTAATGGAGATGGTGAATCATTATATTAAACCTATTAAAAAGCCTTTCCTTGCTGTTCCTCAGTGAAATTACTCTGCCTTGTGTATCCTTTTATGCATTAAAGTGCAAATTACATTGCAACCGCCCGTTGCCCAGGTGCATTTCATGCGGGGGTTTGGGCCAGGGGGGTTTGGTTCCCCATCCAGGGATGGTCCCCAGAGTGGGCTTGCAGGGGGAGGGTTGCACCAGTGGGAGGTAACTGCAAATAATCACAGATTTGTCAGGGTTGGAGGTGACTTCTGGAGATCATCCAGCCCAACCACCCTGCCAGGGCAGGGACACCTGGATAAGGTTATCCAGGAACATGTTCAGGTGGGTCTGGGATGCCTCCAGAGAGGGAAACTCCACACCCAGGCAGCTGTTCCAGTGCTCTGCCACCCTCAACATAAAGAAGTTCTTCCTCATTTTGAGGTGAAATTTATTGTGTTTTAGCTTGTGCGCACTGCACCTCTTCCTGTCACCGCGAACAGTTTGGCACCACCCTTTTGATGCCCCCCTTTGAGTCTTTTGGGCTAAGCAGGCCCAGCTCCCGCAGTGTCTCCTGTAAAAGAGATGCTCCAGACCCTTCACCATCATTGCGGCCTTTGCTGGAGCTCTCCGGTGCCGGATGCAGCAGGGAGGTGTCCGTGCTTCCCGCGGTCCCTCACGGCTCCCCCCGGCTCCCTCCCGGGTCCCTCCCGCCCATGGCGGCCGCTCCGCCCTCAGGCCCGGGGCGTTGAGCGGCAGCGCCCCCTGGCGGCGGCGCTGGGCGGTGCGGCCGGCCGCAGCCCGGCATGGAGGAGGACGAGGCGGGCGCGGCGAGCGCGGAGCCGCGGGGCTCCCGCCGCCGCTCGCCCAGCCCCGGCCGCCTGGATGTGAGTTCCAGCCGCTTCGACCCGCTGCTGGCGCTCTACTCGCCGCGCACGCCGCTGCCCTTCCCCGCCGCGCCCTGCTTCAACAACCTCGCCGAGTACGAGAGCTTCCAGCGCGGCCTGCGCCGCCCGCACGGCCGCCGCGGTGCCCCCGCCAGCCGCGGTGCCCCCGCCGCCCGCGCGTCCCGCCGGGGCCCGCCCGCCCCCGACCCCGAGCGCATCCAGCGCCTCCGCAGCCTCATGGTGAACGCGGACCCCGAGCAGGAGGAAGGCGGAACGGCGAGGCGGCGGCGGCGGGCACCGCGCAATGTCCTCACCAGGATGCCCCGTAAGGGCGCGGGCAGCGCGGCCCCGGGCGGGGCGGGCGCAGGGAGCCGGGGCTGAGGGAGGGCGGAGGGTGTGAGGGCCGGGGGCATGCTGGGCTGGGCTGGGCTGGGCTGGGCCGGGCCGGCGCGGAGTTACGGTGGAGTTTGGGGGTGAGGAGGGAGCGATGGCTGGCGGAAGCGGTTGGGTGACAGTGGGGTGTGGGTGGTGAATGATTTGGTTTGATGGGAAGTGACCCTGGGGTGCAGAGGCACTGGTACAGGTTGCTCAGAGAAGCTGTGGCTGCTCCATCCCTGGAAGTGTCCAAGGGTAGGTTGGATGAGGCTTGGAGCAGCCTGGGATAGTGGAAAGTGTCCCTGCAGGTGGTGGGGGGGTTGGGACAAGATGGGCTTTAGGTTTTTCCCAACTGAGACTATTCCGTGATCTCTGAAATGGTGTGCAGGAATGAGGAACAGCTTTTCACATAGCTACTCACGCAGAGATGACGCTGACTTTGTTGTGGTCATGTTCTTCTCTGTTAATTGGTGAATTACTTACATCCTCTTGGTTTTAAGGAGAAAAAGGATGAGACGCTGCTATATTCTCAAAAGTACTATTTTAAACCATGTTTGGGCCAGTCCAGGGTGTAGTTAAACCATAACCACAGGGAAAGTCTGTAACACATTGCTGTTTCTTGGTTGCTAACCAAACATCCTGCAGGCAGAAATACTGGCATTTCTGATAACAGGATGGCAGAGCAGTGAATTGAGGTGAGAGACAGCTGTGATGTAAATTTAAATTCATCAGCTGTGATGATGATACATATTTCTTGTAAAAATGTTCTGTGAGCGGTCAGGGTAAACATCCCCTAAACATGAAGAGGTGCTACTTGTGCCCCCACACCAAGAATCAAATGGCATTGCTGTCAGGTGAGATGTAACTTTAGTGCACTTAATTAAAAATACTAGGGCTCATTTTGGAATCAAATTATCTTTGCACCATCACCTTAATTTTTTTTTCTAAAAAGGCAAAGCCCAAAATGTTTGATTCTGAATGCCCAAGGCAAAAACCTTTTTCTTGCTTAGACACTAAAACACAATGTGTTCATTGCTATAGATGCTGCATGATCTTAAGTATCATAATTAGTGTTCTGCACAAATGCAGAGGTTCTGTTGGCCAGGATTTCCAGAAAACTGACCTTAAATGTTGATTTCAGATCTTAATAAAAAATATCTCAGTTTGCACTGGTGATGAAAATTGAGGAAAAAAAAACCACTGTAAAAATTAAGAACAATTAAGAACAGATACTTAATATCCACACATCCATGTCTGGACTTCAAAGAAGTCTGGCACAACTGATCCAGAAAGTGCTATTCAGCAGCCTGGAGAGTTTTATGAGTGATTTATAGCCAAAGTTGTGTGCTTTCTCTGTAACTGGGGGATGTCTGCACCACAGGTGTTTGGAACTTGGACTGTGTGGATCAGTTCAGGAGGAGTTATTTATCATCACTTTGCATTTACCAAGGGGCAGAGAATTCATGTTCAGGGCAGGTGGAAAGGTGTTTGATGTGTTTTCAGTTATTTCAACTTTTCTCTTGAGGTTTTTCTAATCTTGCCTCTTAATAGAGTCTGCCTTGAGGACAAGGACTTGAACTTAACCAGAGTTTAGATCTTTATTTTCACCCTTTTGGGATGCTTGCGCTCTGCTTATAGTAGTTTTGGAGTCATTTTTCAGAGTCCTGCTATTAAGCATGTGCTTATTTTATCCAGGTAAGGGTTGGATTTTGAGAACCAACTTGGTAACTTTTTTCCCTGTCTGTTGAAACATTGTTCATTTCTCTAACAACAGAGAAAGCACAGACAGATTTAGTTGTGTGCAGAGCCTGCTCATTACAGCTCTCAGTGCTTGCAGAGGAGGTGTGTTCCAAAAATAAATGCCTTGCTTTGCTGGTTTTATTTTTGCTGAGAATGTCAGGTTGTTGAAGGGTTTTTGGATGATGTGTTCTGCCCTTTTGCTCAGATGAAGCTGGAAGTTTGCCATGGAGGAGCCAGAACCTTACACAGAAGGAAAAGTGGGTAGAGTGTAGATTTGGTGGAGCTCTGTAGTGTTTTCCTGGGTGATGAGAGACAGAGGCATAGTTGAAAATAAGTTGAAAATAAGGGTTAGGTGTAGATAGAGTTCCTACTTAAAATGGAATATTGGAACTTAAATTCTAAAAATAAGTCTGGATTTTAAATTATTATGTAAGTTCTCAGGGTTGGTTAGAAAAAGTACTGTTTTCTGATTGGAATCATTAATTTGATACCATGATGGTGTCATCTGTGGTTCCTGTGATGGATCTGTCAATCTACAACATGTTTGTTATCAGTTCAGCTGAAGGAGACATAGAGGCTCATGGAAAGACCCCCTAAGCAAGGCTGGGAGGTGCTGAGACAGCTTATGC